GTCAAGTTTTCCCCAAAATTTTGCGTACGTACTTTGTGCACGCCGCCTTACTACAAAAAAGACAATCACTTATCTCTTATACTGTATATTTTGAAAATATTTTTTCTGGCGCTCTTACTAACAGCAGAAATTTTTTACTAGTTTTGTCATTAGTTTTTTTGTGCATATTTTCCTATACATTTGCTGCACATAAATATAATTAGTTAAATGATAATGTATTTTATTATGATTATAATGTCAAATGCAGTTTACATAGCAGTTTGATTCTGCAATATTTTTAAAATAAGATATTTTATAATTTTCACAAATAAAGGACATTCAATGTCCACTATTTCTCTCTTAAACTCAGAGGACAAATACAAAAATAGAGGGGCTGTCCCCTCCAATAGAGGACAGTTGGTCACACTGAATACAAGCCGTAAAAGTTATCGAAAAAATCTGGACTTCAGTGACTGAACGAGACATTGATTTTAAATTGGATTGAATTGAGTGTAAAAAGTTTTTATTTCAAATTCTAAACTCATTGCTGACGACCGTTACATTCACTGCAAACCATTCACTACTTGCACGCAAGACATCTCTCTCTATACATCCAGTTCCTCATCACTCGTATCATTACATCAAAGCAATCGCAACATGACTTCTAAGTTACTCTTATGGGCAGCCATTGGACTGGTATTGTGGACATCGGGTGCTGTGATGGGAGGACAGACCCAGAAGTCAATGCCAGGCTTTTACGGATACAACTGTACGGACAAGAAGTTTGACGAAACGGAAGCCCTAATGAACGGCAAACTCAAGACATGTCTGAGCGGTAAGTACGGCACAGACAAACCGGATCCGAGCGACGGCTCCTCCAACAGCAAAGAGTCCTGTTGTTTGTCATACGAGACCTTTTGTGTACGCAATCAAGTGGTAAGTGTATGGCATACCCTTCCCAACCCTACTGTCCACTTGAATGCTGTTTATATATATATATATATCTGACCGTTGTTTGCGTGGGATGTCTGACCTAACAGTACTCCCGGACGTGCGACAAGAAGGAGAGCGCGTACTCTATGTCTACTCATATGAACAATCTTGTGGCCGGTTGTAAGGCTAAGGTGTCCATCGATTTGAGTCCCGATTACTGCAGGATATTGGAGAAGAAGGATGTGGACGACGAGGAGTGCAAGAAGTATATGCCGTGCGATCCCCGGATCCTCGACACAGCGGAGGTCAAGGGGCCGGGAGTTTACGGCCCTCAACAGAGCCACAATCCAAAGGCTACGAAGTCGTCGGCGCCGGCGGTTGGCGTACAGGTTGTGGTGTTTGTATCGACTCTAGCGGTCATTTGTCTCGCGTTTTACCGCTGAATATGTATTCAAACAGTTGTTTGATTTGTCTTTTAGTTTTGAATACTTTTGACTAATTTATTGTGTTTTTAAGATATATTTAATTTAAAAGATATTTATTTCAGTAGTTTTCTCTCAAGTTTGTAACATTTAATCAATGAAATTTGTATTTAAATAACTGTATTTGTTTAAATTACAAACAGATTGATTTCTAAATAAAATAGAAATGTTAATGTTAATCATCAAACTAAATTCATTGCTAAATAATTTACAAAATTAAAAATAAATCTATTTAACCAAAATTGCAAAAATTATTACAAAACAGAGTACGAGTTATGCCTACAAAATGCATACAACTCTATACATACTGTATGCAAAGCATTACATGACATACAAGCCGTAAAAGTTATGCAAAACATCTCAATTCACGAGATACTGGACTTCAGCGACTGAACGAGACTTTCGTTTCAAATTGGATTAAATTTAGTATAAAACTGTCGACTCATTCGACCGTTACATTCACTGCAAACCACAAACTATTCACTCAATACATCCAGTTCTCCATCACTCGTATCACTCCATCAAAGCAATCGAGACATGACTTCAAAGTTTCTCTTATGGACAGCCATTGGACTGGTATTGTGGACATCGGGTGCTGTGATGGGAGGACAGGACCCGAAGTTACAGCCGGGCTATTACGGCTACAACTGTGCGGACGAGAAGTTTGACGAAACGGAAGCCCTAATGAACGGCAAACTCAAGACATGTCTGAGCGGTAAGTACGGCACAGACAAAGAGGAACCGAACGACGGCTCATTGAATAGCAAAGAGTCCTGTTGTTTGTCATACGAGAGTTGGTGTGTCCGCAATCAAGTGGTAAGTATATGACATACCCTTGCTAACCATACTGTCCACTCGATTGCTAACAGTTTTTTGTTGTATGTCTGACCTAACAGTACAACCGGACGTGCGTTAAGAAGGAGGGGAGCGGGTACTCAATGTCTGGTCATATCGACAAACTGGTGGCCGGTTGTAATGCTAAGCTGTCCATCGATTTGAGTCTCGATTACTGCAAGTCGTTGGAGAAGAAGAGTGTGGACGACGAGGAGTGCAAGGAGTATATGCCGTGCGATCCCCGCGCCAACGCACAGGCGCCCAAAGGGTCGGGCGATGGCTCCCCTCCAGCGGCCTCAGACCCAACGGCGAAGACCGAGACTAAGAAGTCGTCGGCGCCGGCGGTCGGCGTACAGGTTGTAGTGTTTGTGTCGACTCTAGCGGTCATTTGGTTCGCGTTTTACCGCTGAATATGTATTCAAACATTCGTTTCATTTGTCTTTTAGTTTTGAATACTTTTTCCCTACTTTTGACTAAATTATTGTATTTTTAAGATATATTTCATTTCATTTCATTTGTTTTTGTCATTCGTTTTCTAAATTTTATAACATTTATTCCATGTATTTGTATTTTATTAATAGTTTAAATGAAAAACATTGATTTTCAAATAAAAATAAATTTTTAACACAATATGACATTTGTTTGTCAATTTTAATAAATACCTGTATTTTGTATTTTAATGTCTGTAATAAAATTTAATGAAAGTTAATTGCTTCACAACTTATTGCTTTCAATATAATTTTTTTTAAAGATTTTTAATTGAATTTTCAGTTAAATGTTTGCAAAACACTGTACTGTACTTGTAGACTTAGAAATCTATGAAAAATTAATTTCTATACTGTATAATTCAACTTTTGAACAAAACATATATGAAATACTATTTTTAAGCAAAATTAAATTTAAAATTTAGATGTTTATTAAAACTTATTCAACATTCAAATGAATTCGATTGCATTAAAGTTATACCATAATATATTTTCAAAATATTAGTATCGATATACTACTTAATAATTAAGGAATATTTAATTCTTTATAATAAAATTGCAAAATTCAAACTAAAGTAATAAAATGTAAAATAAGAATTCATAAGACAATGAATTTATCACAAAATTTTTATTTATAATAACAAATATATAATTATTTATAAAAATAGTAATATTTAAGTTATATTAAAAAGAGGTTTTCAATGAGAAATAAAATTCTTAAAAATGATTTACAATATAAAACAAACGAAAAAAATTGTGAACAAAGAAATAGTTGCATAACTTATTTTATAATTCAATATAAAAGTCACTTTAAATATATATCATCTATATTAAAATATTGTACCGATAGATATCTATACTGTATAACAAAACTCAACACAATCAAATTATTAATAATGAAAAATAATTTTTAAAATCAATATATGTATCAGAATTAGTTTTTTCAACAGAATTTATTTTATAATGAAATGCCATTCGAGACATACTTTTATCGATAATTTTGATAACAAATCATAAAATTTAATAAAAAACATTTTGTGTCTAAAGTGTTTTGAGCACAAGTAGTACAATCTGTAGGCCCCCTCTCAGCTCAGTTACGATAGGCGTGAGGTAAGAATGCGTGGATATTACGGGCCGGCGATACGCGTCCGCCCTTAACGGCACCGGCCGGTGCCGACGACTGTCCCTTCACGGCCTCCACGCGCTGCGACTCGGCGTCTCGTTGTCGTTGAGCGCACTCACACTTCTCTACCGGCGCTGACGGGCCAGACCTACTCTCCTCGACCGGCTCATCGGCCTGTTGTTGCTGTAGGGGCTCGTATTGCTGCACATTATGGGGTTCGTAGACTTGCGGCTCAAAAACCAGTGGCTCTTGGCGTTGGATAACAGGTAGGGGTCGGTATTGAATGGGTTGGCTTACGGGTACGGTTGGCAGCGATACCTGTATGGGTGCTGGCGGTGGTTGCAGCTCTTGCACTGGTATGTCATTAAAAATAAATTAATAAAACTTTTTCAGACACACAAAAAAAACTATACAAACCCTGAGAATCGGATCTTAATTCAGATCTCTGTTCGGGCTCTTCATTCAGTTTCTCCTGTTGTATGACTTCCTGCTCCCGGGGCTGAAGCAGATCCTGTCGCTGTCCCTCTTCCCGGTGTTGCAACACAATCCTATAGCCACCAAACGGCTGCTGCTGTGGGGGCTGTGGCTGAGGGGCCTGTTGTTGGGTCGGGAAGTATGAGAGACCGGTGTTGTCGACCGATGAGAACAGTTGTATGGGTCGAGGGGCCGGGGAGTCAAAGACAATGGGCTGCTGTGGCGTCGACTGGACAGTCTGTATGGGGTGCAGGAACTCCAGGAGCTGTTGTTGAGTGATGGGCTCCCGGTGCTGCTGTTGGAACACAATGTTATTGGATGGCGGCGTCAATGGCACTAAATTAGGAACTGTTTGCTGCTGTTGTTGCACTTGGAAGGCACCGGTATCCGGAGCACCATTGCCTCGGGTGAAGTATTGCGTGAAAACCGGTTGGACAGTTGGCAGTTGAGGGCTAGCGGTGCCCAATAGGGGTGACAGCGGCCTCAGGGCAGGGTATGCGCGAACGGGTGGGGCCACCTGTGCGGTCGCTATGGTCTTTGTGCTCTCGGGTGGTGATTGTGCTACCGGTGCTGATTGTCCGGTCTGTTGAATGTCTGAAAACCAGTTTTAATAATTAATTTTCAAATAAAAATTATATATTAAGTTAGAAATCATAGTTAATGTTAAACCTGGGTAAGTGTCTGAGGGAATGGTAGGCATAAACCAATGATACAAACCCTGTATATTATTGGGAATCTCTTCGCGGACTTGTGGCTCAAACAGCCTCTGAGCGCCGGTAGTCCCTCCCTGTTCTCTAAACGTGTGAACCCTCTGCGGCGCGAACGCGGAGACGGGTCGCTGTTGGACTGGTCTGACCACCCGGACCACAGTTGCCGGTCCTTTGACGGGTGCGCTCTCGAGGGGCGCCTCCTCGTCCTCATTGATATTTCTCTGTTGCGTGATTTGTGGCTCATTAGCGCCGGTATCGTAGGCCTGGGATATACGCGAGTCGTCGCGAGTCTGTTCAATGGGCTGCTGAGCGATGGCTGCGGGCACTGGTTGTGTGGCGGCCACCGGTTGGGCCTGTGCTGGTCTCACGGGCACCAGTCGTTGGAAAAAGCGGTCCCCCTGTATGGGTCGACCCCATCCCTTGACACTGGCGACGGGCCGGTTGTTGGGGGCGTACGACTGGACCCTTTCCGATGGCGATGCGCTCAACTCGATGTTCACGTCCGCCGGCGCTCTGGCATTCAGCCCCTCCTCGTTAGACTTAATCGTAGCCTTAATTTGTGGGTAAAAATTGGTTTTTAGTACTTTTTATTGGAAATTATTTGTGCAAAACTTTTTTGTGATTAGCATTAGACCTAGTATATAGTACAGTATTGCAGTTTTAATGCCAATGATATACAGATTATTTGAAATCTGCAAATTATAACTACTGAATTAGATTGAGATGATAATTAAAAGTTTTAAAATCTAATTTGTGATAGCTAGTCTGAGGGTTTTAAAGTCAATATTAGTTTATTTTTCAGATAAAGTTCAAAACTAATATTTTTAGACCCTTTTATGGAATTTAAATGACCTGTATGACAATTTTAAGTTATCTCATAAATGACTCTCATCTCATTTCTTAAGTTTGGTATTTATATTAACAAACAGACATAATATTAATGATTAGTCTTAAATTAAGGTTCTTAATAAAACCCTAAAGAAAATCCATATTTAATGTAATTAATATTATTTTTAAAATTTATAAGACCTTTAAAATAATTAAAAGCCTTTAATATAATGTCGCTCAGTGAATTAATATGCAATATACTTTTAATATAGAAAAGTTCACTGTGCTGATATCTTAGTTTTAGATTAATATAAATTGTATTAAGCATATTTGTTCATAGAATATTTAAAATATTAAAATAAATTAAGATTTCACATTAATATGAAAGGACATTTAGTACTATCGTATTTGCATTTTAATTACTGACGAGACAGTACTGAATAATAAGAAATAAAACTTGAAAAATGATTTCCATGTTAATTTTTATTACAAAATGTAATTACATTTGTGGCAATAAATCTGATAAAGATTTTTAAAATAGTCTCTTATATAGAGAGAAAGTACTGTAACATCAATACGAGTGAAATGCATAAACAAAATCTTAATTATGATTTAATATACCGTATATTATAAGCATATCTTCACATCTGTACTAAATCTGCGGTAATTTTTGTACCACAAAAAGGTTTGTGTGAAAAAGAAATACGTTTTTTACTAAGTTTTACACAAAACTGCATTTATTTATTTGCGTAAACAAAATGATAACTCAATTTCTAACCCAATTTGGTGTGTATTTCAGGCATATCTCTAATAATCAGAACAAAAGTGTCTTATTTTCTCACAAATATTGAAATTATTTTTCAAAGTTTTCTATGAATCTTGAAAACAAAATTTCTTTTACAAATTATTACATAATAAGCCATTTCTGTTGAGAATTATATCATATTTATAAGCATTTTATTTAATATACATATCATATGTCAGGCGAGAATTGAAATTTAAATAAAACTCTTAATACCAAAAATAAAACTATTTTTAATAAAAAGTTTATTTTAATATTCACTTAAAAATAATTTAAAGGAAACGTTTAGTTAAATGGATTAGTATTTTGCAAAATTTTACAATACAATGAACTTCTAGTATAGTATACAAAATGTAAGATTGAATAACAATTTTCTAATACTATTTAAATTTCTTTAATAGCGATTATATATTGTGTTTAAAATTCCCACAAATTTGCGAAATACTCACTGAACCATAAAATACCTAAACTTTTCTGATATTATTCAAAGACCTGTCAGTCATCTCAACATAAATTAGATTTTAATTTTATTTTTGTATTACTTTTATAAATACATCAATAATGGGATTAAACGTAAGTATTTTTGACTATGATATCAAATCCCACACTTATGGCTTCACTTTTGACAAAAATTGGGGTAAAATGTAATAAAAAGTTCAAAACAAGTAAGCATTTCGTCTTAAACACAATATATAATATCTAATCATTTAATTGACTTTTAATTTTGAGAGTATTATGCAAACAATAGTGAGAATTAGAGAGAAAAATAAGGATAATGTGTTTTAATGATAAATAAATATTTGATTTGCAACTTGTTATTCAACTCATAGTCTGCTAACACAGTAGGAATAAATTTACTATTTACCTAAAAATTAATAAACACAAACTTATTTCATTTATACACTAATTTATTATAGGAGTAAATTGATTTTTAATCCACATTCACATAGCGTACTCTCATTATAAATCGGTGATTTACAGACAAATTAATTATATGAGAATCACAAATGATTTAGAGACCAGAATTCAAAATCCATTAAAACATAAATAAATTGATAAAAAAATTACTTTTCCTTAATATTAATATCACACTAATCAGACATTTATATCACATTCTTATCGGTAGCAGAGATTAACTTAAGATTAACCATTGATTTGCATTTTAAAAACATATCAGTGGGTGAAGTGTCAAGTGGTTATCGGGGGGAGTTAGGGTGTAATACACATCAAATCAACTAATTATGAATTTTAAAATAATTAAATAAGCTTAAATAAATATTCACTAATCAGAATATTCATTTAATATATAATTATTTATAAGGATGTACGATATATTGTAAAATTTAAATATCATTACATATGCGACCCCAACCCCCATATGCACCATAACTCCACATATTTTACAGGAAATTCATTACAAATTCATATCGAAAGTGAATTTGTTGTGACTTTTTAATCTGATTATAAAGATTACTTACTTTGAAGCCATCCTTTCCGGCCGTGTATTCCACACGTCGGGTGCGGCCGTCTTTGTCCTTAATATCGTAGAAACCTATGGTTTTGTGACTTCATATTAATTATCGTATAATATATTGCATTATATTTTGTTTGCATGATTAATATAATTAATATGTTTCTAAAAATTTTTAATAATTTATTGAATAAACTTATAATACCAGTGATCTCTCCGTTTGCGTCCTGAGTCTCCTCCCGACTACTGGAGCCACCCGTCTCCGGGTCGTCGACAGAGTATGAGAAGGAATAGGGTTCAGGTGCCGGCTCGTGGCCCTCACCCTCGCCCTCCCCTTCCGGTTGCTGGGGTCGAGAGGGCGGCGGTCGTTGCGGTTGTGGCTGAGAGGGTCGAGAGGGTCGAGCGGGTCGTCGGGTGGGCTGAGCAGCGGCTACCACTACACTGTCCTCATCGACATCCCTGTCCGGCTCCTGGACCTGCTGTTAACACATAAATCAATTGTTAGTTTTTTGAATATAAATTAATTAACTTTTATAGTTTTCATTTTGTATGACACCATAGGATTAGCTTATAATAGGTTCACACAGTTTTTAATGACAGAAATTAATGATAGAAATTATTATGCAATTAAAAATAGAAACTAAACTTTATTTTTCGTTACTTATCACAGTTTTCATTGATTTGTTAAAAACCAAAAGACATTATGAAAAGTAGCATATAAGTTAATTAATTATGTATTTAAATTTATCGTTTATTTAACTAATAAACACAAAGCAATCAATTTGAATACCTGGGCTTTTTATGCATTTCAATCAATAGTTTATTGGTGTTATAAATGAGTGATTTGACAGATTACAAATAAATGGAAAACCTTTTTTAAAAGGGACTAAATATATAGGTATGCTTTGATTTATTTTCTAAATTACAATTGATATATATATATATATATTGCAATATTCTAGCAAAATGTATAATTTAATAATCCAAGAATTATATATTTATTTGTAGATTACTATTGGGGTTACGGAAGGGCTAGCATTAATAATAGGACTTCCCGTTATAGTTACCCTTTCATACAGTCAATGCATATTCAAAGGGAGTGATATTTCTTGTTAAAACAACTCAAATAATAAATAACTGACAAAAAAACATTTGGTTTAAAAAACTAATTACTTTTTATTCTAATTATAATCATATAAATAGATTGGTGTTTAATTTGGTCTCTGTATATACTGTACAATAGTGAGAAAAACCAGTCTATAGTGTACTAATTAATTCAAACAATGCTAATAATAGTGTACATTCTTGAGACTCACTTTAAAGTGAGTTAAAGTTTCTAATTATTTTTGGTATGGATTACAATATAAATACTTAACAATATATATTTATTTATACTTATTAATAGAAATATATAGACTAAAAAAATACAAATACATCAAAAAGTATTAAGTATGATCACTCATACCTGTTGCACATCATCGGAGGGTTGAGCAGACTTTCGAGTTGAGCCCAAAACACGATGAGATGGAGATCTTTGTACGGATGGCGAGCCCTCGGAGGCTGAGGTCTGGCGACCCTTTTGGGCACAAATCGCCGTAAATAAGAGCAATAAAACCAAATACTATAAGAAAAAAGGAAATCATATTATGAACAGAATATTCACACAAAACTAAAATATATAACAAAAATATATGAATTTTAGACAAAACTTTTATAACTCTTACTCTAAACAACATATTCACATCCAATTAATGCATTCACGTATAGAATTTTATAAGTTACGGCAAACTTTCAAAAAACTAGAAAGTTATACAAATCTTTAAAAATCACTTTTTAATAAAACAAATATTTTCTATAATAAATATATTTACAAAATATTATATGACTATTATATTTAAAGGGAAACTCTTTTTCCGCACAAAACACTCTCCACTCGTGGGGACACACAAACGAAATGGAAAACTATTTGAATGAAAACTTTCTTTAAATAAGAATATAATAAAAAATTTCTCCCGTTTTTACTCTTAATCTGTTTGTTGAATAGAGGGGTAGAAAAACAGGCGGACTTTCTAACGATCAAGTCGTTTCACTGTACGGTTAGCCCACATTTACAGTTAGCTTTAAGACCCGTCCCCCTCTAACTGCCTGTTCCCTACATTCCAGTGCCACTCGATATATAAGTTACCAGACTATCACTTATATTGCCTAAATGTATGCAAAAGTTTTTCAATGATTGCATTTTGGCACACAATAAGATTTCCAATTTTCTATATTATACAACAAAATAAGTATATATTTTACTCGAAAATCTATATCATTTTCTACACCTATTTGTATTCAGTGTAACAAAGTTTTGTTGAAAAGTGTACATTTTTTGTTATAGTTATGTATGCTATAAGGAATGTGTACTGTATATTCAATATTAATATTCATAACAATTTTTCATTCAATCATAACAAACAATAAAATTTACTGTAAAATACATTTTTCTCCAATACTTCCTGACTTTCTCCCTATTCTTTGTGTTTTAAATATTATGTCCATAAAAACAAATCAAAACATTCTTAATACCCTCGTTAGATATTAACAACGGGGGAGGGATATAACAGTTAACACCCCCTGAAATGACAAAAAATAATTGGTATTAAAGACTGTGTTATTTGCAAACCATATGAGAGAGAAATCTTCAGAATTTTTAAGACGAGAGAGAGAGAGAGAGAGAGAGAGAGAGAGAGAGTATTTATTAGTCATATATTTTTTTACTTGAAATCTCAGAGATAAGTAAAAACTTATAGCGAAGTAAGAAAAACTTGAATTTAAGTATTTTTGACCCAAATTTGCGCGTTATATGAGTGAAGAGATTGAGATTCACCTGAATTTTTGTTTGGTATTCAAAAACATTTATTAAGTCTTTCGCGATGAAGACAAACACACGGTTAATGAGAATACCAGCGAAAGTTATCTCATATTTTTTTCCACAAAAATCACTGCATTTTTATATGAATTTTTGATTAATTGGTGGCCATCTGTCCTCCCAGTGCTTTACTGTAAAGTCATTTATTATTGTAAAAAACTTTGTGTTGATTGCTATCGGAGTTGAAAATAGAGATATACTGTATATCTGTTTAAAATTGTATTATTAATTCAAATAAAACATTAAAGTACTTAAAAATCTTGGATTAATGACAAAAATTGCATTTAAACTTCAATTAATTGTTTTCTTAACTTATATTTTCTATAGTGTTGAGCAATTGTAGTAATAAATATTTTACATAACTTTTATTATGGGATCACCAAAGGGTAGCCCAAAATTTATTTGGTAAAAATGTGGGCGAAAGTTGCAGCAAAAATAAAAACTATCATGATAACTTTCTATTCAGCCAAATGACATATAGTTAATAGTACTGTAATTTATATATTATAATACAATATTAATACAAAATTACAAAATATATTCTCAATATTTTTTACAAAAAAATATTTATTGCAAGAGTCCGTCAAAACATACCAAAAAAATTGTATTTTTGTCCCAAATTCTCACAACAAATATATTTTCAACAATTTTTTGTCACTCAATATGTCATAAACTTTGTGACATTAAAACTCATCCGTCAAATGCATTTTCAAATGATTGCAATCATATCTCCCATGAGATGAATGCTTTCTAATCGATGAAAATCATTGGATATAATATTTTTTATAGTTTTCAAATACTGTATATTTATATTTTAAGCTTAAAATATGATTTTCATTGTAAGGAAGACATAGACATATATAATATTTTAATGAATTTAACGGTTATTAATATATTTAGATATAAAAGCCTTGTTTCGGTATTGGCTTTTCCCAAATATCACTGACATTAATACGACAATATTTATCAAAAAATATTTAAGTAAGTCTTAGACTAAAATAAATATCCTATTATATTTATTATATCATATTTACTACAAATATATTCATAATAGCAAATGTATACATAACGTGTGTTTCATAAGAAATCATAGATATATAGCAAATGAATATTTAAATATCGCAATTAGACATAGAAATTAAGTGCAAAAACTCGTTAACTATAGAAATGCATCTTAATGTGATTTTAAATTGAAAATTAATTTTTCATTTCAATGTTGAGATTAATGATTAGTGATTTTTTGTGTATACTTAAGAGAAATTTGTTTAAAAAATATCTTTTGAAAAATCATATTCAATGTTAAGAAATATACATTTCATACGATTTTTAAATACATTAAACGCAAAATATTTTTTTGAAAAATTAATTTTCAAAAAATACATTATACCGTATTATGATATTATAATTATTTGATTTGTAAAGCATGTAGAGATAAAACTACAAAATAACAATTTTATTGATAACTACCAAAACCTTTGAGGGATTTATTTCTCTATACTTTTAATTAATTGATAAATTCTTTTCAATTTATATTCACTTTAATATCACTTTTCATTTATTTAAAATACTTTATCGATTGCGTAAACATTTGAGCATTTGTTTTGTGGGAAAATTTGTTTTTATAGTAAACCACATGATATCAACGGATTATGTTTTTAATTTAGTTATAAAAAATATTCTATAAATAAAACCAATTAATAATTTTTAATTAAAACAGTATTTTTTATTTTCATTTAGACTAAATATAAGTTTTATTATTGTTTGTGTAAACAAAATGTTTAATTTGGAAAAATATATAACCACTTTTATTTTTTAAAACAATATTTTTGTTACAAAAAACTACTTGGTTACATGTTAGAGCACTGGTATCCACATATCCATAATATGCTTTCCATATGGAGATTAGGCCAATGAATCCAAGGCTCGTATGGTTATAAAAAGCGATGTCAAGGTTCAGGCATTCATTTTTTGCTGAGATATATGACTATTTTTCACTGTTTCTTAGGAAAAATGTATTAAATTTTCAAGATAAACGCTTATTTTTATGATTAAATGGATGGTTATAAACTACCGGTGCCCTCATTGTAAGGTTGCATTATGCGGACGTTTGATGAGTTCCCAGTTAACACTCTTTAACGTAATAACAATTTTTTTAATAACAAATGATATATTAATCAACATTTCATTTGTAAATTAAATTACGGCCTAATATTATTTATTATTACATATTTCAGGTATAATTTTATTTAAATATTGTGACCTGAAATTTATAAGGCAAATACATATCCATACGAAAGTATAGTAAGTGGTATGAAGTGTGTGTCCAAAATGCACAGTTACCTAACAAAGTGTTTCTTTTCTATAGTTGTATTCAACCGTAAAATTCAATAATAACTTAATTTCGAGAATTATTTTATATTATGTGTTAAATTATATTAATGTATAGACAGTCACATAATGTTTATACAACACAATAAGAAAGCAGATATTATTCAACTAATATTCATAGACTTATTAAGCACAATACTTTTGTCATATGTTATACAACACTTAAGCCATTGTATAAATCATACAGTGCTCCTGGTCATCATTGACATAAAACTAATACAGATAATCATCAGAAAAAAAGAAAATAATTTATGTCTCCGTTTTTCCCTTTAAATCAATCCATAGTTTCTCTCTTTTATTGTTTGTTTTTCTTTTGAGATAAATTTCACATAAAATACATTTCTCTCAAAATGTCAGTGCGTTTGACACTAATATTTGATAAGAAATTAATTATGTATTTATTGTTTTGTTTTTTAGTAATTTAAAAATAGACATTGCATCTAGTATAATATTTTTTGAGTACAGTACATTGAGTACAATATAATGTGATCCAATAATAATGGCAATCATAATAATACCGGTGCTGTTCCGTATATTAAAAAAAATCTGATACTTATCTCATTATTTTAAGATTATGTGATTTATGTGATTAATTTTGAACTCATAGAAAGTTTTGTATTCAAATAAATCCATGTATTAAAAATATAACAAACTACAGATTAATTGCATTAAACAAACATAGTTGAATATTTATATATATGCTTAATTTAAATTAGTTAATTAGTCCTATAAATACTCTATAAAATCAAAATGTTAGTGAACTTCAAATGTGAATAAAAGGCACACAAAAAATATATCGCAAAACTATTTGCGGCATTTAATCTTAATTATTATTTATCAACATTTTATGCATTATAGAGAAATAGTTTTTATAATGTGTTTTTAATTAATGATAATTTTAGTGATAATCATATCATTGGCATAAATATCAAAACCTATATATTTAAATAAGTTTTTAATTTTGAAACTTGAATTTTGAATTTGATGAGTGATTTCTAACACATGTGTTAAATAATCAATCAATTGTACAAATTCTGGTTTATTTGTTTTCACATAAAACAATAAAGGGTTAATAAAAAATAACAAAAATTTTAAATTAAATAAATTGATATTTAATTATATTTTATGTGATAAACAAAAATTGAATGATTGATCGGTTAAATAATTAATTGAATATAATGTATGCACTGACAGTGAACTATTGTTTTGAAATTATACTAAAGGATCTAGGGAAGAATAGTATTTTTATATAAAAATAAACAAAATACAATTTA